TATATATATATATATATATATTATACGTTAAATTTTTTAGTGAAAAATCTTGACTTCTTCTTAGGTTGAATAAAAGTTATTCTGGGATTTATTGGATTTTTACTGTTTTTGTGATGCTATAGTTCTGTTTTTCATCTATTCGTGCTTTGTAAATGCAAGGGACCTTCTAATTAATATGTGACATTTTTAATTAATTGTGTCTACTGAAAGATGTACGTTTTGGGCATCTTGAGTGGTACACTTTTTTTTTGTTTGGTTTGATTTTCCATAGATGCGTGGAATAAGTTGATTTATTGTACTATCTTATATTATATTAATAATGGACAACGCAAATCAAATACTTTTTTGCTCGTTTGAATATGGGAGTTCGATATCAGTGGTTCAATTTCATGGTCGTTATAATAAGGTATTTTCTTTAAAAAAAAATACTTTATTTTAGAGCTCATACATGAAATTTCTACTTAAAAATAGAAGATAAACACACTTATCATATCTCAAACAATGAACCGTTTAACCATAGATTTTAAATGCACTTTTGAAATTAGTTTTTTACCAAATATCTATTTGACCATAAATATTAACTAATATTGGGGGCACTCGAATCTCAAAATCTGGTTCGAACATGTTGTTGGGCCAAGATGCAAGATATAATGTTGGTTCTTTTAAATTTTCTCAAACTTTTTTTATAAAGTTTATCCATGTATTACTTCGAAAAGAATGTATTTAAAAAGAAAAGAAATAATACATTAATTTTTTTTTAAAGGAGATATTTCTGAACTATTAAGTAACCAACAAATAACCATCAATATACCTAGTTAAATTTCATAAGTGGAATCTAGATAGTATTAGAGTATATGTAGACCTTACAACTACCTCATAGAGGTAGAGAGAATGTTTTCGAAAGACCCTCGACTCCAGAATAACAAATTCAAGTACAAAAAGAGAAGAAAACAGTGTAGAAAATACAACAATATAATGCTGAATCAACAAAATAGTACGATAATAGAAACACGGTAAATAACCGATGATGTGAAATATCAAAAGTAAGAACTACAATAGTATCAGATACCAAAAGCCAAAGAATACATGAATAGGCTAATACAATGAATGGCATGGTGCTCTATGTTATTATCCAGCCAAATACATAAAAAGGCTAGTAATACAACAATTCTTAACTGCATACTAACCTTCTACCTTATTCGTGATTTCCATACCTTCCTACCTAGGTAAGCGGAGGATGCGTCGTATCTTGTCTAATCACCTCATCTTAATACTTTTTCAACCTACCGATCTACCTCTCCTCGATCCACTATATTCAACCTCTCACACCTCCTCACTAGGCATCTTCACATCCCTAAACCATCTCAGTCTCTCCTCCCTCATCTTGTCCACCTTAGAGCTACTCCTACTTTGTCCTAGATGGCTAGATATCCCCATTTCTAATCCCATCGCTCTGATTATACTCGTGCATCCATATCAACATCTTCATTTCTCCCACTTGCATTTTTAAGGACCAGGTGAGAGTCCTTGACTGGCCAATACTCACTTCATTAAATAAAGCCGATCTAAGTCATCTAACCACCATTTGGTAAAATTTATCTTTAAGTATTGATTGACTTATTAAGTAACAATTTAAATATTTTTGGACCAAATAATTTACAGAACAAATATTTTAAACCCAAACTATTAATTGAAAATATTTTTATTCAATTTAGCAAATTTAAGAGTATTTTTTGACTATTTTCCGTAAAATAAGATAATGAGTTTCCTAATACCACTTATCCCTAATCTTGTACAATTATGATTCACATACCACTTCAATTGACTGCTAAACTACTCTTTTACAGTCAGATCTGTCTCTTTTTTCTCTTTTAGACTTCTTAGTCCACTTTTTGTTTTCTTTTCTTTTCTGGATCTTTCGCTTTTATCCTCACACTTTTCCCCATTTCTTTACTCTGTTCAAATCAACGAGCTAATTTCCGATTAACAATGGAGGACTGGGGCCCAGTTTTGATAGCAGTGGTGCTGTTCGTGCTGTTAACTCCGGGTCTACTATTCCAGCTTCCCGGCCGTGGAAAAACGGTTGAATTCGGGAACATGCAAACCAGCGGCGTTTCCATTTTGGTCCATGCCGTAATTTACTTTGGCCTCATCACTATCTTACTCCTTGCCATTGGCGTCCATGTCTATGTCGGCTAAAGTAGTTTTTACCTTCACTATTTGTAAGTTTGTAACAATCTCTCTCAGATCTTTATTAATCTCTCTCTTGCTTATAGAATAGTAGCAATTGATCTTCCATTTTCGATTTCTTAATTTGCTACTACCAGATTGTATCAATTGGGTGAACTGTTAATACTTAAAAGCATTATGCACTGCTTCTCTAATTTTACCTTAACTTGGTGCATCATTGTACACGATTATTAGATTCTCCAACAACAACAAGATACACAGTGAAATCGCACAAGTGGAGTAAGATTGTACACACACCTTACTACTACCTCTTGGGAGGTAGAGAGGCTGATTTTAAAAGACGCTCGTCTCAAGTACAACAAATTCAAGTACAAAGAAGAAGAAAATAGCATAGAAAACATAGCAACAATGAAACACAGTAAACAATTGGCAAATATTTTTTTTAAAACTTCGTATGGAATAATGGTCCTGCTTCAAGTACTAAGATTTAAAAAAATTGAACTAGTATTAGAGACGGATCTAGGATTTGAAGTTTATGAATTCTTACAATGCGCTCAAGTTAATGTAAAGTAATAACTGGATTCACAATCAATTATTTATAAATATTTTGTGAATTTTGTAATACAAATATAAGTATGAACTAAAGTTACTGGGTTGCCAGGAACCCATACCTTAGGCTAGATCCACCCCTCTAGTATCCATCCAACAATCCGAATTGTGGAAAATATTAAATCTCATTCATCCATAAGTATTTAAGAATTGTATGCTTTGCTGAATATTCTATAGTTCCTGAGTTTGAAACATTAGACTATACATGAAGGAGAATGACTTGTGGTCAATGTATAGATTTGTTTTCATTTTGCCACTGCTTGATGTTACCTCTGCCAATATGAGATATGCAAAGCATAGCTATGATAAATCTTCTCAACTGGAAATAAAGGATTGACATAGCTGGTCCAACTAATTTGAGATTGAAGAGTAGTTGATCGATTGTCACTGCTGAATATTGTTTGCCTTTAACTGACACTTCATTGTTCAATGGTCAAGCCATTCCATTTGGGTATCTCGACTCGTCTTGTTATTCACTTTTCCTTTTCTCCCTTGTTTGAATCTTCAATCTTATCATATACATCTGGAATTCTACTCTTGCCTAATAGAGAATGGGCATGACCCTTCCATGTTCTATCGTCCAACGGACGGGCTATTTTGAGTTCTATATTTAGTTCGGTTGGATCAGTCGCATCTGACTCTGATTGTAGTTTCAAGTTCACATGTCGTACTAGAAAACAGGGGCTAATGTTTGCAATGGTGACATTTCCTGATGTTGCATTCTTTCTTCGAGGATGAACTGAAGAAAAGCTGAGGACAAGTTGAAGAAAAGTGATGAAACCCGCTATAGCTACTAACTCCCCTTTTACTTCCTCATACAACATGTTTGTCTGAATACTAGCAGCAGGCCTCCCATGAGTTTGTTTTCCATGGGGATTGCCGTGAGATACCTGCATACTAATATTCTATATGCCTCAGTGCCTTTAGCACCATTCACTAATATATCATGTCCTTTTAAGTTGAACTACTCTCACTTCTCGAGTTAATTTTATGTATGGTCACCAACCTCAATATAATAGCTAAATGCAAAGCCTTTTATTTTCACATTGAAGTATTTGAATTGCTCAAAATATTACAAATGACCAGGAGGTCAAATATACAGAATCAGGTTATGATAAGTCACTTGCAATAGCATTTTTGACTACCTATAATTTAAACAAAAGAAATTGCAATAGCATTTCTAATTCCGGCACTCTCCCTCCTTCCTTCTCTCTCACACAGACAACTCTAAAAATTGAAATGGTGATACTCGCTCGAATTTCTAAAAGATCCTTAGAAACTACCTTCTCCTCTCAGACCCACCACCATCATCAGCAGAATCTCCTCTGTGGGCTGCTGGCAATAATTGCTCAGGCAATAAGGAAATCTATGGATCGAGTGAAGTGGGACTATAGAGAGCAAAGTAGATCACTGCTCTTGGTCAGTGGGCCCCAAAGGTGGCGTCAAAACTTGTGTGGTGCCAAATGTAGTCTTTCATGTTAGCAATACTAGTTTGTAGACTTTATTATTGACCTTGAACACAAGCTTTACCAGCCAACTGGTTTGACCTTTGAAACTTTTTTCTCATATTCTGTGTTCGTCGTTTCAGGCATACTCCTGTTAGCTCTTCACGCGTTTGGCTAACAAGGAAAATCATACCTTTTTTATTTGGTGTTTTGACCGGTGTGGTCGGAGTATTAGCTATATTTCTATTAACCAGTAAAAAAGTTAGTGTCAGAAATGAGCTTATTTTGCTGTGTCTACTCTGTTTCATGTATCTTTGCTGATCAAATGTTGTTCTCTTGCTAGTAGTTCTTTATCGCAGTATAATTTGGGCATAAACAAGTAAACAACTCATGCCTTCTTGTTCTTGAATGACAAAGGAAGTCTTCATAACCTTTTGTTGATGCTGATTTTGAGGCGACTAAAATTCACTCACTTATCAAAGAAAAAAAGAAACTCCTAATCTTTGATTTGTTCGATTTCTTCTGGAGTTCAACTCGGAATTCCAATACAGATGTGTCGGGATTATGAAATAGTGGCGGAGTCAGAATTTTTACTAAGAGATTCAAATATGAAGAAGTAGGGTTCGGATGAACCCCTTGCTTCCACCTAGCTTCTGCCCTTGTTATGAAATGGAAGAAGTTAATAATGAGGTTCCTTGTTCGCTGGTTGATCAACTATGTGTACAGAATATGTCGAAATGGAAGTATAGTAAAATGATCTTTAACCTCTCGATATATAATAAAACTACTGCAAATTCAAATTTGTTTCTCATATTTTTCTCCATTGTAAAATTATCATTACTTTAACATTGTTTTCCGCTACCACTATATAATGCATTGGTCCATTATCATTTTAAATTTTGTGTCTACTCAAATATCATCATATAAAACTCAATAGAGAAGATTTAAAATTGAAAAGACGAAGTACAATTTTCGTTTGGAAGAGAATCATGAGATCTCATGCTCAAATTCCAGTAGAGACAAAAAATATTAGGTGATTTCTTTTCTTTTGTCCCAACCTTAGTGGATAGAGTTATCTTATACTTGTTGGTGGTGTGTGGTGATAAATATTCCGTGAAATTAGTCATGATATGTGAAAGCTGATCTGAACACTATGATAATAGTTTTTGTTTTGTTTATGAACCTATGAGGTGTATGATACGATACAAAAATGAATTAGACTCAATATGGTCTCAAATGCCATCTTTTTCATGAGATTTCCAATTTTCTTTCAGTTGGATGTGAGTGCACCAAAGCGTTGATGGAGTTAGGTGTATGTATATGCCTTTTTTTTTTTGTGTAAAAGGACTCGAGAATCATTAGCTTCTGAATGTCCTTTTTATTGCCCCCAATTGTACCAACCAATAAGAAGGGGGGCAGAGGAAGCGAGTTGGTTATGGATTCTATTAAACTCAATAATTTTAGTTTAAATTTTATATTTGTTGTGAAAAATAACTTACAAATTAAAATTTAAAATTTAAACATAATAAATTTAAAAATTCTGATTCCGCTTTTGCCGCTGGGGAATTCAAAAGGAATACTACCAACCAGAAAATGAATTTCAATAATTGTGTTCAAAACAGGCCATGCAATATACTTACCAGTATTATAGGCCGCACGAGCTAATAATTGTGAAGTTTTACGGCACTACTTAATGGGTTGTGATGTACAAAACGAGAGTTGGTTTTTGTATGTCAATTATATATATCTTTTTAGTTTTATGTTTTTTAATAAGAAATTTTTTAATTTTTCATATAAGAGATCTAAAAAAAATTACTTTTCTTCTATTCAATTTATAAATGGTTAAGAAATCTCTTTTTGTTTCTTTTCTTTTAGAGGCCAATAGATCTCATTTCACCCGCCATAAGTCACAGTTGGTTAACACTTTATTTTGGACTACAAATAGTAATAATAATATATTATTATTTTAACCATAATAGTAATATTAATATATTTAAGCAATTCCAGGAATATTTCAAAAAATGAAAAATTTGTGAAGTAGAGTCGTAATATTGTATCTAAACTGTGTTTTTTTAGCATGATGTTTTTATTTTGGTTTGTACGTCACTTTGATCATAGGAGGGGAATTTCTCCCTTGATATGCAATATATATATATGACATAATAATGATGAATATGGCAAGGATTATAAAAGAAAAACACATTTTTTTTTTATAAAAATGGAAATTAGGTTAACAAATGATTGAAAAGAAATCTTTAGAAAATGCAATCTGAAAGAAACATAATTGGAGTGAAAGGGACCATAATTAGCTGTTTTTGTGTTATTTAGATGTTTATCATCAACCACTACCTATATATGTCGTGGAACACCATTAACCAAAAGCCCAAAACCTAATTTATATCAAAATGTCCTAAATTATTATCTATAAATCCACCAACTTAACTACTTTTCTTTCATATATATATATTACTCCATCTTTTTCTCCCTCCAAAACTAGGGTTTCCTCATTATACAACTACCATGGTCATGGCAGCCAATAGTATATTCTTGGTCTCTTCGTTTATTCGAAAAAGGGATGCAACACGAGTACTTCCTCATGGGATCATCCACCTTAGTATGTTATTTCTTTGAAAAGCTTCTATTAAGATAGGAAATTCTCCGATAAAGCTGCTAATATATATCAGGTGAACTCATATATTCTTGTTCATGCTTGACTTCACAATTATGAGGAATTCGGTGCGATGTTATGGAATTGTGATGTTGGAATGGCTCAATCTAATAAAAGTTTCCAAACATTTTTGGTTATTTTAATTTGATTGAGCCGTGCCAATATCATATTTTCTTTGTACAAGAGTCTTGATGTATGCTTTTTAAAAAGTGCCCAAGTTTTGAAATATTCTTGTAGGTTAAAGTTTGATTGCAGATTTACTCATATTCCAAAAGTTTAGTGTGTGTTCAGAAAATGTTTTCTTGAAAATATTTTTTCGGAAAATAAGTGAGTTACTTATTTTATTTTTTTGTGTTTCAAATAAAAAAATATTATTCTAAAAGTATTTGTAAATAATTTAGACAAACAATATGAAAGGTAGGGGATGTGGGGGTGGTGGGAATAGGGGCATAGGGCTGTAGGGGGTAGGGTGAAGATAAGGCATGCTGACGGGAGAACATAATCAAGGTGGAATGCTACTTGTAGAATATGTTTACGTTACCCTCATTTTTAAGGATCCTGTTTTCCTAGAGAAAATATTTTTCAAAATTTTGACCAAACAACATGAGAAAATCAGAAATTATTTTCCTCAATACCAAACACACCCTTAATGTCTTTCAATTTTTTTCCAATTCCAACCTACTTTTTAATTTGTTAGTGGCGTTTACATAATTTTTATTGTAATCGTATATTAATATTTGAAAAGGTGAACAAATGAATAAAGTATTAGGAGTATAATGATGAGCAATTCCATTTTTCATATTTATACCCAATATTTTCATTTTTCTCATTATACTCAACATTTCCATTTTTTTCATTATCTATATAACATCATGACACTACTTGGAACAGGGTATATCCCTCCTAGACTTCTGTTTATGAGATATTTGAAAGGAAGCATCTTTTTTCCCCTTTTTTTAGGGTCTTGATTTTGGCCAAATATGCCAACTTGTTCTTCTTGGATCATATATAAAGATGGTATATTTTTTTGTTTTTTCTTCAATGTTATTGATTATATTCCTAATTAGGTATCTATCAAACTGTCAAATATGTCATATCTCTTATGGTACCAACCAAGTCAGTAGTTTGGTGAATAAATAATTTTTTATGTATATTCATATGTATAGAATCGAATATTTTTATTCCAGACAGAATGGCATGATTAATAATTGGAAGAAGGCTGAAATAAGATTTGAGAAAAATATTTAAGTTATATGAACTTTGTAAAAATATTTTTTTAAAACATTTCAGATGTTAATATTCGAATGGATTTCCTTTTTTAAAATAAATAAATAAAACAGATTCTGCATATCCTTTAAAGAGTATAAATAAATAAACATCTAATAGCTAGGATGCAATTCCTTCTCTCTTTTTTTCTTTTCTTTTTTTGATGGTGTAGGTTGTAGCTAGATAATTAAAAAATTGCCTCGTATCTTTGAACTTTTTGATAAATCTATCTCAAGAAGAAGTCACATTTTAATAAATATATTAGTTTTATCCTTATAGTTTTTTTTGTGTGTGTGGGGGGGGGGGGTGGGGGGGGGGGGTCCGGGTCNNNNGTGGCTGCTTCCCTCTCAAGACTTCTAATACAACCACTCCGTAGCTGTAGACATCGCTCTTTGCAGTGGGGGGGGGGGGGGGCAGGGGCGGATCCACGTGGGTTCCAGGGGTTCATCCGAACCCCTCGACAAAAAATTACACTATTTATATAAGGTAATTTTTCAGTATTTATGTGGATATATATATTTTGAACCCCCTCAATGACAAGGAAAAACTGATAGCCTAGCGGCAGGTCCCTTAGAAATTAAGCTT